TCTTATAAATTCCACCGAACATACTCTAAATTGAATTGGTCTTAGAAACCTTCAAAACTTGGGCAGCAGGTGCCATAGAATAATGTAGAATGGATCCATGGTTCGGCCAAATCTTCCATCCGCGTACAGATTTCCAGAAGAAAAGGAAAGCCATTCATGTTCCTTCTTGACTTTTCTACAGCTACCAAAGAGCCCCCATCGAAAAAGGAGCAATTTTTTTAATATTCTCCATTTCCAGCTATCATAATAGAAAACCATAAAGCGAAAGCACATCATTCCCGCCCCTAACTGGACGGGACCACCGACCCCCCACACCACACCCACAGCGACCCCCATCCCCACCCCCACATTTGCCCATGCCGACGTCTAATCAATCGCACTTGTTACATTATTCAAATAGTAAAATATTGTTTTAAAAAATTAATTTTAAGATGTTCATAAATTAATATATAAATACTTTAATTTTAATAATAAAATGTGTAAAATTTTTAAAATAATTATATTTAAATAAATTGTTATAAAAAAATATTAATATAATTTATCATTTTAAATATTTATTTTTAAAAAATTAACTTAAATTTTATAAATTTTTAATTTTAAAAAATTAATTTAAATTTAATCATTATCATCAATTTTTTATTAAATTTTAAAAGTAATAATTTAATAAAATTTAACTAAAATAATTAAATTTAACTAATTTTCAAAAATAAAAATTTATAATAATAAATTATATCAATATTTATTTATATAATAATTTTTTTAACATAATAATTTTAAAAAATAATTTATATATTCGGCATAACCTTCACTGTTCAAAAAAGAATAAACAGTAAGATATTGTAAAAAATAAAGAATGCAGTACCACCTCTTACTATTTTAAAGCAAAAATGAAATTCTTCACATCAGTCCATTTCATCCATCCATGTACCGCCCTGTATCTATGTACTTGTAAAAAAGGGAAAAAAATCTATCATACACAAAAGAACCCCAATAAATTTAATCTGCTCTAATGCTATCACTGCCAAGTATTTTGTAATCTGGGTCCTATCATCTTCAGCTCAAATTTCTTCACATACCCAGCAACCTCCCTCAAGGTAGTGTCCAAGACATAAGGCGTTTTCTCGTAGGTGAACTCTGTGGAATTGATGAGGTAGCGGCAGGGCTCTCGCCTTTGCGCAATGGTTCCATGGTAATGGAAATACTTGATCATGCCTTCGGTTTTGTGAGTCGTCTTGCCAGCGAGGTTTTGAGACATGTGCACCCCAGTGGCAAACACATTGCGCGGTTGGATGGCATATTTGCGGTCCCTTCTTATTCCCCTTTTCACATCCCTATATACAAGCTTTTCAAATCCCCATTTCCTGCATCAAAAGAACAACATGGACCAAGAATCAGGATGTTGCGTATACAGGACGACACCTTAAGAGCCCACAATCTTATCCTGGACTAGTTGAAGTTTTGCAATTCAATAGAAATTACAACATCATCAAGAAAAACTAGTTGTAAGCCACATTCAGAAAATATCAGCATCAACATGACTAAAGCCGCAAGGATCCCCAATAATCCAATTTATGTTTGAGTTGATTTTGATGGTGTTGACCAGTTTTTCATCATGGCTATTAACAAAATTTTGATCACCAGTATCTTGAACAAGAAGAGAACATCAGCTTTTCAACACGGTTCCTAAAATATATAGACTTTTGAAACAACTTGGAAGAAAAATGCATTAATCTAATAACAGGGTCTCCATCATGAATATGAAACAAATCACCATAGAACAAAGTAGAAACCCACCCCATTTCTACCTGCGCTAAAATACAATCAACAGAAGAAAGAAATCAATACCGACAAAGCAAGAACCACGCAGAACATGCATAAAACACCAGACCTCATTTCAATAAATTTCAAAATCATTTCCCCAATGTTCCAATCACCCAACCACCATAGAAAACAACCTCAATACAGTGCACACCTCAAATGCAGAAAAATACAGTCATAAGATTTTCATCAAAGTTCAAGTTAAATTGTTATTATGTTACATCGAGTTGTTGCCTGCTAACTTCAAAATCTTGATTTTAGGATAACAATTAAAAAGATTGGATCGATCAAACACTGTTAACTTAATAAGTTCCAAATCCTAACAATAATTGCCAATTGAAAACACTGTTATTATGCTACAATAACCGAAATTCCAAGATTAAGCTCAAATTCTTCCTTTTTTTCTATTTTTTTTCAGCACATCAGACGAGTTAGTTGCTTGACGTTGCAACGGTTTCTTTGTTTTTTTATATAGTACTCAATTCATATAACCCAAATTTTAGAGATTATCCCAAAATATAGTAGCTCTATTAAGTTTAATTGCAAGAACTTGGCCACCACCTGAACCCAAAAAAAATGGCTAAAATACCCAAAATTAAGGGAAATAACAAAATACCTGTGGCGTTTAGCAGCATCTTGAGTAAGACAGAGTGTTCTGCTCATGGGCATCTGCTCAATTGTGAACTGAGAGTATTCCGAGAGCGAATCGAGCACAGATTTAATGGTGCTCTTGGACGGTACGTAGATGTACTCGTCCACATCGAAGAAGAACATCCATTTCGCCATAAATCTGTATCTATGGAGGCAATCATTCACCACCATAAACTGATTGTGATAGTACCCATCAAATCTTTCTTGATCCTTTATGTCCTGCAGCGTCACGTACCCCAGCTCCATCCATGGCTTCAGCACCTCCAACACCTCCTCGTGAACCCCTCCGGCGTCGTGGATAACAAAATGGGATCTCTCTCCTAACAGCCTCACGTGGTATGCCATCCACTCCCTCACCCTTTGGGGGCTCAAGTTCCCGTACAGAGAAGACCCACAATACAGGTAGTCGTATTTGGGTTTCGCCGTGAACAGTGAGATGTTTAAGCTTCCGGGTGTTTCCGTTAGTGTTGGAATTGTGTCGGTGAGGTTGAATTTTGCGTCCCCACCTCCGGATGTGGAGGCTTGGAGGAAGAGTGTGCCACCGGAATTGTCGAGGTTGATTGGCTGAGAGAAGGTGCAGTTAACGACCACCGCCGTGTACACCCGACCGTAGCCCCAATCTGGGAGGATCTTGTGACCAACGGTGGTGATGTTTGCTTGACTGTTGTTTTGTGGGAGCCACTGGCATTGATAGGTTGGGCGGCCGTACACATGGAGGGGCTTGGAAGCGAGGCCCACAATTGCAAAGGTGGTGAGACCGCCTCGGTAGGCGCTCATGGTAATGAAGTTGTAGGCGGCCGCACCGTAGGTGTTGAAAGACCTCCGTATGGCGCCGTTGGGTAGCACCTGATCTGTTTCAACAGACAGTGGTGAAGGCTCCGGCTGTTGGGTATCAACCAGTACCTCTTGGCCGGTGGCATTCAGCTCAGCAGCGGTGGAGATGCGAGAGATACATAAGCGGAGATCAGAGGCAGAGATGGTGAAGCGGGAGGGTATAAACTGGAGGAGAGTAGCAACGGTGCAAAGGATGAGGAGAGCAGATAAAAAAAGCTTGAGCTCGGCCGCACAGTTCCAGACGACACCGACAAACATCTTGCTGTTTTTCTCTCCTGATCTTTCTTTCCCCATTGCCCCCAGGTAAATTAAGGAGATATGCGAAATGGGTTTTGCTCTGGCGAGGGTTAAGGAAGAAGAAAACCGGGTGCAGATTGCGGAAGCAGAGGATGTTGGGGGAGGGGGAAGAGAGAAGGTGATAATGGAAATGAAATCGATATAACAATTGTATCAAAATCTCTCCCTCTTCTTCCCTTCTGTTTCTCAGGCTGTCCCTTCGCATTATTGCCTCGGTTTCTTTTGTCCTTATAATGACTTTTTTTTTTTATTAAACCCCCAAATTTAATCCCCTAACTATTATATAGACTTCCAATTTGGTTTCTAAATTAAAAATATCATTAATTTGGTCTATATTATTTATAAATTAAACCCAAAATGAACCTTTTGGAAAAAAAAAAAAGAAAAAATTCAATAATGAAAGTAAAAAGTGCCAATAAAGAAAGAATTTTCAAAAATAAAAAAAAGAAAAAACAAACAATTTTTAAAAAAAAAAACAAATTGAAGGTAAAATGAAAAAAAAAAAAAAATAAAATAAAAAATTTTTTTAGTTTAAGGACTAAATCAATTGTACATACAATAGTAGAAGGACCAAATTAAAAATTTAACCTTTTCTAATGCAGAGAACATTTGCCTTTTACAGTAGGAAGTGGGTACTAATTTAGGCATATAATTTTATCTTATGGGAATTTTTTTTTTCTTTCAGTTTAGTGGCTAAGGTGTTCATAAGTGAGCTTGAGCATACTTCAGAGTGAATTTTCTTCAGTTCCGTTAAAAGTAGATTTTTGTAAAAAAATTTATAAAAAATTATCTAACCATTAACTTTTTTTAAGAAATAAAATCTTGATGAATAAAGTAAAAATAAACTCTTTTATCAAGTAATTTATAATTTTTATATTATAATAAAAAATTATTTTTGGTACCTTATAACACTTATATGT